CGCCGCCCCCAACAATTTGGTCAAAACAGCCAGCTGCCTAGAGGCCATCAGAATTAAAGTAGCAGCAAGCACTTATTCCATGTGCCAGAGACTTTGTATCTGTTAACTCATTTGATCCTTACAACTCCATGAGGCAAGCACTATGATCACCCCTGTTTTACAGATGGGGAAACTGAGGCACTGACAGGTTATGTCAGTTACCCAGCTCACACAGCAAGTTGGTGCCAGAGCTGAGATTGGAACTTAAGTAGCCTGGCTCCAGAGGGCAGGCTCATAGCTGCCACTCCTTAGTGTCCCACCCATGCTGTCCCCGGCTTGCTCTGGTACCTAAGAGAGGTCAGTTCTCTACTCTGGGCCCGCAGTTTCCTCATCTGCATAATGGAGGTAGTTGGAGTAGATTGGTACACTTCCCTCTTGTGACGGTTGTCTCTCTGGTAATTACTTATTCATTCAATTTCTCCCGTACTGGACTCTGTTCCACTAGCACAGTGACAAAGCTATCTTGGTCACTACCGTATTCCCAAATTCTTAGCACAATGTTTGGCCCATAAAAACTCAACAAATACTTGAGTAAATGGTCTTTACAGACTTGAGGATCATCATCAACGGTTTGAGTATATGATAAACGTTTTGAACTCTGTATATAAAAAAAAAAATCAACGTACATCAGTGGTTCTCAACTGGCAGTGGTTTTGCCCCTCCCACCCACCCAGGGGACATTTGGCAATGTTTGGCAACATTTCTGGTTGTCACAACTGGCAGGGGGAGGTGCCACTGGCATCTAGTGGGTAGAGGCTGAGGAGGCTATGAAACATCCCACGATGCACGGGACAGACCCTCAAAACAAAGAATTATTGGGCCCCAAATGTCAATAGTGTTAAATTTGAGAAACGTGACATACATACATAGATATGACATATTTTGTACAATTGATAGTAAGTTGGGGGTGGTTCGTGGATTCGCCTAAAGCTTGTGTCTGCCACCAGGTGAAGACCCCTGGATTGGAGGGTCTCTTTGTTTCCATCTCTAAAATGATATTGCTCAATGACCTTGAACTCTCAAATCTGGAATATAGTTCCCCTGGGTCCCCTGTCCTAGCCTCTGGTTCCCCCAAGGCGTGAGCCTGCTCCCTGTTCTTCTGTGGGTGCAGGGAATTAGGGGAGAAGGTGCCGGGTTTGAGGTCTCTTCTTCCTCCCTGCCTCCCCTGGCCATGTTGGTTCCCTGTAAATGGTGGTAAATATGAAAGACTTCAGAACCAGGCAGCCTTAGGTTTGAATCCTGGTTCTGCTAATTAACTCTCTGTGTGGTCATAGGTGAGTTCCTTAACTGCTCTGAGCCTCAGTGTCCTTCTCTAAAAATAGGAGAGGGTACTCATTAAATCTACCTCGCAGACGGTGGAATGAGATGCTTACAAGCAACTTCTCACAGTAGTCTACGCAGTGAATCTCAAGAAATGTATTATTGTTATCATGGCTTGGAGGTGAAGTGACTTGCCCAAGGCGACACACCTGGGAAATGGCAGAGCGGGCACTGAACACCAGATCTAAAGTGGATGCCCATTAATTAGTGAACTCTAGAGCTTCAGCTTTTCTAGAAGGGAAGCGAAATGTCCTCGTCTCGAAGATTCATTTATTCGACAAGCACAGAAAGTGCGTGGCACGTAGTGAGCCCTTTAAATCCAGCTTAGGGGGCGCCTGGGTGGCGCAGTCGGTTGAGCGTCCGACTTCAGCCAGGTCACGATCTCCGATCTCGCGGTCCGTGAGTTTGAGCCCCGCGTCGGGCTCTGGGCGGATGGCTCGGAGCCTGGAGCCTGTTTCCGATTCTGTGTCTCCCTCTCTCTCTGCCCCTCCCCCGTTCATGCTCTGTCTCTCTCTGTCCCAAAATAAATAAAAAACGTTGAAAAAAAAATTTTTAAATCCAGCTTATTGGATGGCTAGTGTTGCCCTTCCCAAGGGGTTCCTCCCGGAAGGCAAACACAGATCCTTCCCCACCAGGGCCGGCTGGGAAGAAGAGAGGGAGGGAGGCACAGGGGTGATAACCGGGGCTACAGCTTGGGCTCCTGGAGAAGGGCTGGAGAACTGAATGTTCCCCAAGATCATCCCCTCTCCGCCATTTTGTAGTTGGAGAATCCAAAACCCAGAGAGAGGAAGACATGTGTTGTAGCTCACATGGCAGATTGGAACCCAAGACCCTTGGAGTCTCCTGATTCCAAGTTGGAATCACCATCTTCGCTCAGGTCCTTAAAAGCAACCATGGCCATTCTTGAGAAATTGCACCATACACTGGAGTAAGCACTGTAGGTATTTGATTTCATTTTATCCTCCATCAATTTAAGGACAAAGGGTCCTTTTTTATAGCTGAGGAAACAAATTCAGAGCGGTAGGACATTTGCCCTAGGCCCTGAAGGAAGAGAGTGAGGCCTGTGTGCTGGCTTCCAGATGCCCTAAACTTCCCCCTTTACTGTCCTGAAAGACTCAGCCTGTGGAAGACGGCAGGGGGGGGGGGTGCCCTGGGGGAATCCCGCAATTCCCCAATTCCTGTTGCTCCTTCCGTCCCTAGGTGAGGCAGGGAGAGGAAGCCCCCCACTGTCCCCCTTGAGAAAGGCTTCAAGGGAGGAGAGGACAGAGCCTAGCAGTGTGGGGAGGGGCCCATAGATGGGGTGTGACTGGGAAGGGGGAAATCTCTGGGTTCAGGAAGAGGCCTCGGGGAATCTCTCATCCCCTTCCCTTAGGCTGACCGCTTGGGGCCTTCAGGCACAGAGCTCAGGGAGCCCTCCAGCCTCCCTTCCTTGCTTTCATTCAGTTCTTCTAAGCTCTGCATTTTGCAAAACCCAACCCTTCCCCTGCGGGCCTGTGGTTTCCTGTGGGTCTGGGGTCCTGCCTGACTTGGCAATGGGACTGTGGGCAGTGGGGACAGGAGGAGGTGGTGTAAGCCCTTTGTTTGCCTGCTCATGCTGGGGCTGCCCCCCCCAAACACACCTCATCCCCTGAGTCAGCCCCCGCCTGGCAGGGAGGGGCGGGGTTACTGATTCAGTTAATAGCGCCTGCTTAAAGCCCCCACAAGGACAGCTGCACCTAGACACCGCCACCCTCACCATGAGCCCCAGGCAGCCCCTGGTCCTGGCGCTCCTGGTGCTGGGCTGCTGCACCGCCGCTCCCAGACCACGCAAGCCCACCGTTGTGGTCTTCCCAGGAGACGTGCGAACTAATCTCACTGATAGGCAGCTGGCAGAGGTAGGCTAATACCCCTGCATGTAGTTAGGGAGGGCTGGCCAGGAGTCTCAGGGAGGGCGTGAGGCTTCAGAGGAGATTCTATTGGGCAAGTTGAGGGTGATGGTCGTGCCTGGAGGACAGAGGTATCTGGGACCAGGCCCTCAGGGGTCCTGTGGAGGCTCTGGACGGGCGATGGCCAGGAATGGCTAATAAGGGTTTCCTAGGTTGGTAATGGGACATGATGGGGGTGATGATGCTTTGGAGGGTTCTGGAGTGGGGTGAACAGGGGTAAAGGCTAGGAGGCCAGGGGCATGCAGGGGTGGGAAGGAGATGAGGATGTCTACAGGGGAGGGAGTTAGTGGGTGGGCATAAGCACTGGAATCCAGGGTACCAAGTCCTGGAGAGCTGATAGTCCCCGAGTGCCTGGAGGATGGAATCCTGGCCCGTTAGGGCCGGGTAAGAGTCAGGGCTCTGGAGTATCTCTGCCCTTCCATCCACAGGAATATCTGTATCGCTATGGCTATACTCATGTGGCGGAGATAAGCGACGACCAGCAGTCCCTGAGTCGGGGACTGCGTCTTCTCCAGAGGCGCCTGGCTCTGCCTGAGACTGGCGAACTGGACAGAACCACCCTGGAGGCCATACGAACCCCGCGCTGCGGCGTCCCAGACCTGGGCAAATTCCAGACCTTTGAGGGCGACCTCAAGTGGCATCACCACAACATCACGTACTGGTGCGCGGCAGGGCCCCGAGAAGGCGGGGGAGGGGGACGGGAGGGCCAGACCCCGCGCCGCGCCGGCGAATTCGTCCCTCAGACAGACCCCTAGGTTTCGATGTGCAGCCTGGGGCAGGTGGCTCCGCCTCTGAGCCATCTGTTTCCCCTTCAGGGAAGTGGGCCTGGCAATCTGAGTCTTCCTGCTAGGGCCCCTGTGAGTGTCCCAAGAGAAAAATGCGTCTGAAAGTACCTTGTAGGTGAGAATGTGGAACGCAGGGAACATCGTGCCTGCTGAAGTCGCTGAGACACCGGGTGTCGTTCCGCCCCGGCTCCAGACTCACTTCGGACCTCTGTCCTCTCGCCTTTCACCTGTAGGATCCAAAACTACTCGGAAGACTTGCCGCGCGAAGTGATCGACGACGCCTTTGCCCGCGCCTTTGCGGCCTGGAGCGCAGTGACGCCGCTCACCTTCACGCGCGTGTATGGCTTCGAGGCAGACATCGTCATCCAGTTTGGTGTCAGGGGTGAGAAAGCGAGAAGGGGGAGGCCGGGAGGGTCTCGGACGGGGACAGCGGAGGGAGGGCCACGGAGAGAGGAGAGCGGGCACTGGACGCCGCTTGGTCTCGCCTGTCCCTGCAGCCCTGGCCGCCTCTGGCTTTATGCGCCCCCTCCTGCCCGACACGGCGCAGCGCGGGGACGCAGGGCTCGGACAGCTGCTGTAGGCGGGACCTCAGCCCACGCTCAGGGCAGCGCACGGTCTGCACGACTGCTCTCCGCCAACCCCCTCCTCCTGCACCTGCTTCTCTAGAGCACGGAGATGGGTACCCCTTCGATGGGAAACACGGGCTCCTGGCACACGCCTTTCCTCCCGGCCCAGGCATTCAGGGAGACGCCCACTTCGACGATGAGGAATTGTGGTCTCTGGGCAAGGGCGTAGGTGAGATCCTGAGCCGCCCCGGCTCGCATTCCCTTCTCTTCTCACGCCCATCGCCAGCCGCCCTGACCCGGTGCCCTTCTCCTGCAGTGGTTCCCACCTACTTCGGAAACGCAGGTGGCGCCGCCTGCCACTTCCCTTTCACCTTCGAGGGCCGCTCCTACTCGGCCTGCACCACGGACGGCCGCTCCGACGACATGCTCTGGTGCAGCACCACCGCCGACTACGACACCGACCGCCGGTTCGGCTTCTGCCCCAGCGAGAGTGAGTGCGGGGTCGCGACGGGGGTGAGGGGCTCCCACCACCCTCGAGGGTTCGAGGTTTTAATCCCGGCTCGGCCACTAG